AATAATAATAATAATTATAATTATTATAAATTACAAATTATAAATTATAATAATAAATAATAATAATAATTATAAATATTAAAAATTATAATAATAAATAATAATAATAATGATAATTATTATAAATTATAAATTATAAATTATAATAATAAATAATAATAATAATTATAATTAGTATTAATTATAAATTATAATAATTATTATAATAATAAATAATTATAATGTATCGAAACGCAGACTGTAATCAACACCATCTCCTCCAAAATCTTCCCATGACTCCTGCTATATAGTACAATATTTTTATTTTTAGAACATGTTAAATTAAGATAATTAATTCTACGATGTAACATAATAATTTGTAACTCGTAACATGATATTATCTAACGTTCAATTAGTATAATTTGTAACTCATAACACGATCACGATAATATCTAACGTCCAATTTATATTATAATAAACATGTAACACAATAACTTGTAACTCTTAATACGATACTATCTAACGTCAATTTATAACATAACTAAAACTAATATATAATGTAATAATTTCTAACTCGTAACACGATAATATCTAAACGTCCAATTTATATTATAATAAACATGTAACATAATAATTTGTAACTCCTAACACGATAAACGTCCAATTTATATTATAATCAACATGTAACATAATAATTTGTAACTCCTAACACGATAAACGTCCAATTTATATCATAATCAAGTCTAAAAAGTAACATAATAATTTAAAACATAATAATATAGCCCAATTTATAACATAATTATTTCGAATAATAACATAATAAATAAAAATAAAAATAAAAAAAATAAAAAAAAAATTGCCGTCCGGCCGGCGGTTCCGGCAAGGAGGTAATTGTGTTTTTTTTCTCTGATGTTATTAGACGCTCAACTTAGCGATGATTTATACAGCAGACCTTAGAACCGCCGTAACCTAACCACGAGCCGATTACTCCAAATCACATCGACACCCTCCTAAGATGTCGACTTGTCGATCCATACATTGACTAAGGAAAACTTCCTTCGAGCCGATCTGACATCCCAACGTGAAGGGTTCACCGCCCAACTATAGAGTAGACGCCCCATCACTCAAAAGGTGTGCAACCACTTATCACCTCTCATGTGGAGAAGTCCCCACTTCAACCGGTCCGTGGGTGATGTAGGCAGAAGCGTGAACGAAAAGGAAGAAGCGATAAAAATCTCTTCTCTTTATTTTCAATCGTATGCTTCCCTACATCAGTGGGACTCTCAAAACACCAGACTCACCAAAATGTCAGTGATGAATTTTACCTATTTACTTGCTATAAATTGCAAAAATTCGAAAGAGAATATATACGAAAAAATACTCGCAAATAATAATAAAGCATTTATTATTGCAATACTTACACAATTGTTTTCTTTTGCCGATCTCCTTTCGATTTTCACCTCAGTGCCGTCTCAAAAGAGTCGCCTCAGGGCGGCGGTCGCTAGATCATTGGTCCAGATTGTGTCGTGGGACCGACGAATCCTTCAGTGTGACCTTGCGGCTCCTTTCGTGTCTGGTGGGGGGTGATTGATGTGTGCCATGAAGTCGACAACAAAAAAAAGAGAGAAAGCAAAACAATAGGAAACAAAAATTGTTTTGGAGAAAGCATCTTGACTAATTTGGAGAGAACCTCTCTAGTTGTGAAGTAAAAATAGAAATAATTACCGCCTCTTGAGCAACATGAGGAAAAAAATAAAGTTGGAGAGAAAATGGAATTCGACTCCTAGATGAACTCAGGAGTCGGGACGAATGAATCAGCCTGTATATTTGTTATCACTCTGGCCATAGCCATGGATACAAATGAAGATTAATGCAATGATATCTTCCCATATCCCATCCATTCGCATCTAACACACGTGGCCTTAAATGATAGGCAAACTACTACTTGATAAGCAGTCATATGTACTGTCAAATGACCAATCATCACTGCGCAAGCAGGTGCTAAAGTTTGCTCTAATTGAGCAAAATCCATAATCATAGGGGCAAAAGAATTAGTTTATCCAACATGCCAAAAAACACCAGAGAAATTGGTGTAATGTCACCACCAGTCATTTGTGCTGTTTGGTTTACATAATGAAATCAGTACACGGCGTATCGATACACAACAAAAGCTACAGCTCATTTAATAATCAACCAACACAATCGTTGTCAGATTCTGTAAAGTCCCCCAATTAGTTACCAAAAGACCACTTATTTTGCACCAATAACTTGAGTCAAATCGTTACTGATGTTTATCAACCAAGGAATAATAAGCAATAATAAAATGAACTCCTTAGCAATGAGTACATGTGTGAGGAACATCAAGTTGCACAAAAACACTGGTCTTCCATCACATGAATTCGAAGACGCCAGCTGTATGATTAAATCCACAAGATATTTCAAATGCTTTGACACTCTTGTGAAAGTCGAGCAACATCGGCTCAATATAGTCAGCATCATTGCCTTGACCCTGAAAGCTATTTAGTATTAGTTTTACAAAAACTAAAAAAAATCAAAAATAAATACATAAGGACTACATATGTAAGACCAGAGTCTACCGATGATGTAATGTGATGGACGAAACCAAATTGAAAACATCCTTTAGTTATATTAGAAACTGCATTTATTTTATTTGTTTACTATTATTTATCTTTTTCTTTATTACACAGGAAAAAGTTTTGGTAAATGTGAATACACGGAAGTCTGGAAAATGAATCATGGAAATAAGGCAAAAAATAGCTACTATTTCTCTTATATGTTCATAAACTTTGGTGAATTTTTCAAGTGCAGGCGGGCACAGATATACTTTAGCTTCTCTAGACAGACAACAAAGATTATCCACCAGTTATAAGCGTGTACAAGACCGGGCTTTTTAGAATGCATTCATGTAGTCATGTCATAAGCATGTACCAGAGCAGGTCCTTTTGAAATAAGACTGTCATGCATTAATCTAGTCATAAGTCATAACTATGCACAACACAAGGTTCTTGAGAAATAAGACTGCCTATGCATCTTGCCAGTGACTCGCATATCACACAGATGTCCATTAAAAAATTGTGAGAACCAAACAGATGCATTATTTACGGGAGTTGGCTGAAGAATACAAATAAATTTTAACAGAAAAAAAAAAAGAAAGAGAAATACAGAAATAAAAGCTAACCAACTGTCCGCCTGGCGAATGTCCATCTTCTTTAAATGTTCCATGTGAACCACCCCAACCCCACGTGTAAACATTACCTCCTACATGGCAGTAAATAACTTACATCATTTCATAGATAAAGAAATGATGCTTTTGATACATCACACATATTTAAAAGACTCTTTGGATGAGGTTAAGACTCTTCATAACATCTTATATGATTCTCGTAAGCTACTAACCTCTCTTTAATAGTCCTCAATAGAAACTTTTAGAAGAGATATCATTTAACCATATTTGTAAAAGAGTTTGGCCATCGAAATATATTCTTGGAAAAGAAAATCTCATTATAAAACCTCTCTAATTTGACATCACAAAGATATATGTCAATACTTAAATGTGTATGTTCTATAATCTTATTATATCCAAACACTTCAGTAACTTCTTCCCCAACTAAGATCTATAATCTTAAAAGATCTAAAAGTATCTTATCAAATTGTTGAAACTAGTAGATCATTGAAATAAATTCACCCTAATACCATCTAAGTAGACTTCTTATCTCAAATTGGTCAGACCATAAATTCATCAGATGATCAGAAATATGGCTGGCAAGGTACAATAAGACCATATGCACACATATATATTCATAGATGTAAATGAGAAAACCCCGCAAATGAAAGCAAGTAGACCAAATTTCACCCTTGTACAAAGTACATGAAGTGCCAAAGCAGATTGTGTACTTGCTAAACCTGAAATACATGTGTTTTCTAATACTTAAGTCTCAGGTTTTCAATTAGTCATCAGCAAAGAAAAGACTATCATACTTCCATAGCTTAGACACTTATGTAAATGAGTGATGGATCTTCCACAGCATTAAAATAATGAGAGCAACACTAAGCTTCTACATTTAAGGAACTAAAATACATTACCACCATTCGAACATCATTAACTTGGAATATGGATTAAATATAAGTTATAAATTAATTTTGCATAAAAAGCTATACAATATAGATAGAAAAAAAATTAACAGAATACTCATCGTTTAATCTTTACCGCAAATTGCTGCAGTATGCTTCCAACCACATGATACCTGTTTAGAAAATTGTAGATACAAGAAAGAATAAATTAAATAATGATTAAACCTTTTTTTCTAAAAAAAGCTACAGATTTTATCCTTCTAAAAACATTTTTCTTATCCTAAGGTATTCAACTAGAGACAAAATAAAGAAGAGAAACAGAGAGAAAATGAGGCCTTTCCTACCAAAACATAGAGACTGTATTTCCACGAAAAGAGTACTGAGCATGAATCTAAATTTTCATGTAGTTGTCATCACAAACCTTGCTAACAGATTGCCTCAAAAATGGACCTTCAACTCTTTCAGGTTCATAAGTGACTTCTGTGCAGCTGAAATGTGATAGGTCAACCAAATAGAATTTCCAATTGTTTGCATTAAAAAAAGAAAACCGGTAGCTTTTGTCAAGAATTGTTTATGCCACACACCCAATTCCTAGACAGCCATTCTCGTTGGAGCCCCATGTGTACAGTTCGCCACAATCTATGCCACCAAAAAAATGTTGAATTCAAAAAATCTATTTTCCAAGATAACAAAGCAAGCGATGCACTACTCTAACCAGCTGCATGTTGAGCTTGAATTTTCGATCAGCACATAAGGATAAGTTGAATTTGCTAACAAATCCAAAGATAATGAGTTCATTTACTAGAACAATTTAAATGGATTCTACACATGGGTGAAACTAATTTCTGTTCCCATGTAAAAAGTTTCACGGTATTTTATCTTTGCACAGCAAGTTTTGAGGTTCCCTCATAAATCCATATCTATGTATCTACAAAAAAGGGAGTGAACTTCGTACATAGACTGGTTATTTTCAGGCCAATTAGATTTAACTGAAACAAGAAATTCAAACAGCGATCATTTTTACTTCTCTTCTTTTTTCCTTTTTAGTTTGTCTGCCAGTTAATACCATTTTTTATCCAGTAATCATCTTAACTTTTAATATTTTTCCTTTTCTAATTTTGAGTGGATTTAAAGTTTACATCTTTATTGTGTTTTTTTCCTTTTTCACATTTTTTTATCTAATATATATACACACACACACACACATATATATATATATATATATATATAATATTTTTCCTACTTTTTCCCTTTTTCAATCTTTGCTTTAGATCCCATACCTTTTTGTTTTCATTATCATAACTTAATAACCTTTTTTATTTCATATCCTGTTTAATATCTATTTTTACAGAATTATTATATGAATACATTATTCATATTTTATCAAATAACAAAATTGTGAACCATGAAACTTGCACATTTTAAAATAATATATACTCATATTACCCATAAATAAAATTATTTCATATCATGAAAAATAATATAATATTTAATTATATTACATCCCACCCAGACATCGAAAACCTTACTCCTCGATGCCATAATATGTCTGATAAATCATTAACCAAAAAAAAATATTATAATGATAAGAAATCGGAATATAATTTGTCTACAAATATTATTCCATGGTATATAATTTATTTATGTTTTGTTTTATTTCTCAAAAATCATATTTTCGTGTTTTTATATTATGTCAAATTTATACAGTTTATCATCGTCGCACGGGATAGCACTAGTTCACATAGAAAGATAAGAAACTTAAAATTCACTTTTCTGAAGCACCGTCATGAGAACCCTCTTAGAGGAACAAGCAATCATGGCAGGTAAGTTAAAATTTCAAAATCACTCGATCCAACTACAGTAACAGATTCACTAAGCCCCAGAAATAATCCTTCAGTAACATTATGAAGAAAGCTGAAATCTTCTTCCAAAGCTAGAGAGAGCATTATTTCCCAACATGGTGGAGATGCAGACAGGAACATGATCATATAATATTGACTAGGCAAGACAACAATAATATAGTGTGAGCACACACATGCAGTGATGCAAGATAACATGTCAAAAGGACATTTTAGTTTAGTGTACGAACATCTAGAGATACAACTTGTGTCTAAGACAGGCTAAACCTGTAACGTGTCAAACTTTAGGGGACAAACATGAGAAAAGAGAGAATGCTTAAGGAATTGGAAAAGAAGAAAAGGTGAATATAAACAATTACATCTTGATTAAAAGAATATGAAGACATCGAAAATATGGTTTTTCCATCAATGTGTGCCCCAGCCCATATAGATGTTTCAGCTTGTAAAATAAAATGTTGCGTATCGGTATGTTTTTGTTCAAGCAAAATTGCAATGTTGTCTGCAATTTCAAATGAACTTCACCTATGACTTCAGAAGTAGAGAGTGTGTGTGTGTGTGTACTCAAGTAGCAGTTAATGTACGACTTTCTAGCACAATCTCCAAGGTTCATCAGTCAACACATTATCACCCAAATTCAGCTGTAATAGTTTACCTAGTAATTGAATTTGCTTAACAATATTTACTTCAGTTTTTAAACAAGACTAGCTCTCTGCATAATGAAATGAAAGCAGGTAAAATTTTCTAAATGCAGCACTCCCAAAACATTGATTTACTCAAGTCATTGCTAAAGAATCAAATAAAGAGAAAATCAATCAGATGAAAGATTTACTTGTAATAACACAGGTGTGGTAACCACCACATGCAACTTCCTCTGAAAATGGCAGTGAACTAATGGTACATGGTGTGGTTTCACTCTTTGCTTTACCAAAGCCCTAATCAGGAATCTGTCAGGAAAGAAGCCAACAGAAGACAACGGATTCTGAAACACAAATGAACATCAGCTAACTACAATTGGAGTATTAGATTACCCATTTTCCTAATTCTCTTTCACCAAAGAAGTAAACAGAGCCATCTTCTGCAAAATTTCAAACACATGTGTAGTTAGGGTGTATTGTGGTTTTGAATATCAAAATTATAGGACACACACCAACCATAAAAACATAAGTTATTACCAGAAGTGCAGGCAGAGTGAAGCATTCCAGCAGAAATGCTCTTGACCTAATATTGTGAAACTAGTATGGTTAAATTCTGAATGAACATTGAACAAGCACAAAGGGTCAGACTGAGGGCGTGCTTGTTTATAAAAAAACTGGTCTTATTTCTGGTTTTTTGTGTTAACTAGAGTTAGTATGGTTAGTTGTATTTTAAAAATGTATTAAAATAATATTTAAAATAAAATAATTAAAATTGATTTGATGTAAAAGTAGGAGATAAATGATTGAAAATGAGAGGTAGTAAGTGAAATAAAGTTGATGTGATGTGTAAAAATGATTGGATGATACTATTGAATTATATTGATAATATTGAGGATAGTGGGGTTGAGTTAAAGTTGAGTCAGATTTTGAATTGAGATGGATTTTTTTCTACTTTTTATTCTAGATATTTGATAAACAAGCACGGCCTGAACGATTTCCTAAAGCAAGAGATGCCACACAAGTACCTTAACTCCCTCAAGTCCTTTAATCAGTCGTGGTGTATACTCACTGCAATTTCAATCGCCCATAAAATGATTAATTCTACATATAAATACTTGAAGGCAATTACAAAATTGTATTATTCATATGCATAATATTTTCAGTGGATCACAAGCAGTACCCAGTCAGAGCCTAATAATTTGTCCAGATTGCAGTGATTAAAATAGAGTGTTGCGAGCAGAGGCGACAGGCTTCCTATTTGCCATGGTGTGAGGCGCCTTATGAAGGCTAGGTGACCCATTAAAAAAAAATTGAGATATATCATTGAGTCGAATAAGGCACAAGAAAAGAAAAAACATTCAAAAGAATGTAGAAGTTTGTGCATTGCCATATTCAAGAAGCAAGCAGGAGAAGATAGAAAAACATGCAAAGGCACAAATCAGACATTTAAAAAAGTCTGCTACCAATTAATATCAACTCCGAAAAATGCAAAACCCACAGGAAAAGGAAAAAAAATGGTTAAATATGGGCTGCCGACAGCACCGCCAGAATAACTTCCGGCGCTGACGACGTTCATAACCAGCGGAAGCCCTCACCCAACTGTCCGAACACAAAAGGTAAAAGAATACCACAAAAAAGAAAAGAAAAGAAAAAAAAAAAAAAAGAAACAGGGAAGAAAATAACACATTCTCAATGGAGCCCTCGCCCTTGCCGGAATCCGGTCGCCTTGTTCAGGTTGAAAAGAAGGCACAAGTTGATTGAAGGTTCGCTTGGAGAAAACAGGTTTAATTTGGAAATAAGAAATGAACCTCATATCGTAAACCTAATTTTCCTGCCCCTTTGCCTCATCACTATGTGGCGCGCGCCTCACCGAGGTGTCGCCTCGGCAGCGCCTTTTGAAACCACGCCTCGCCAATGGCTGCTCGAGGCGAGGAGGCCTCACCACGCAACGCCTCACGCCATGGCGTCACCTTTCTAATCCTGAAAGTATTAATAGTCAACTATGACTCGTTAACAACACAAATTCAAATGAGTATCAACTGAAAATCACCTCGAACCCCAAGGCTGTGCTTGGATATAAATCAAGTTGAGTTTTGATTTTGATTTTTTTTTTTTTTGGTTAACCAAAAAAGTTGCTTGAGTTAGGTTTGAGTGAGATTTTGAGTTTGTATTAAAATAAAATGATTAAAATTGATTTGATGTAAAAGTAGGGGAGAGGCGATTGGAAGTGATGGGTAATTAAAATTATGTGAATGAAATGAATGGTGAATTAAAGTTGATGTGATGTCTGTGGGTGATTGATTGACATTATTTAATTATATTGATAATATTGAGGAGTGTTGAGTTGAGTTAAATTTGAGTTGTGATTAGATTTTTCCCACCAAGATTTATATCCAAGCACCACCCAAATGAATATGTTACAATAAATTTTATGAGAAACATAAGTGTAACTTGATTTTATTTTGATGAAGTGATGTTGCAGATACAATCTCTAATGATTCTCTTTTTGATTTAAATTCTGATCTTAGAATGTGGGTTAAAAGATCGAATCTCCTTCAAACTTGAGCTTAAATTTGGCTAGTGTTAAACATTTCGGAGATTAAATGACGTCCCGAATCAAACGTTGGATTTAATTTGATTGGAGGGGGCTTGTTTGAAAACTTTATTCTTCGACCTTCCTTCTTGAAATTGAACTGGACTTGAAAGCTCTTTCTTGGTTGAACCACACGTCAAACGCAGCTTGAATGACCCCTTTAATGCCATCGATCTTCTTGGATTTGACTTGAGAGGAGTGGATAGCGCCTCTATGGAACATAAACCACCGCCACTTTTTCTTGTTGGCATTTTTTTCCCACAACTTTGTGTATCAACACAATTCAAAAGCTCGCAGGCTTGATTCCGGAGTGAATGTTAACCTTCAACTTGAAGGTATTTAGATCTTTAAAAACGTCTTCAAATCCATAGTTTTAAATGGCGAATGGCGAGGCGAGGCGATTCGCTCATAGCCTTGCCACGAGGCGAGGCGATTCGCCATGGCGAAGCCTCGCGAACACAAGCCATATAAGCTTAAAAATATATATATATAAATAGTAATATCATATATTTAAGTTTAAGTGCCAAAAATAATCTTAAATATCCTAAAAAAAATAACATAAATTAAATTTAGTTGTAATTACTAAAAGCATCTAAAACTTAAATGTGAATACTAGCAATAAGGTAAATAAAAAGTGTAAAGTAAAAGAAAATGAAAGAAAAGATGGTACACCCTATCACCCTTGACTATTGACAATACTAGTAAACATAAATAAAGTGGAAAAATAAAGAAAGAAGAAAAAGATTAGAACAGAGAAAAGGGAGAAAGAAAAGAAAGAAAAAGACACGCATCACCGACCGTCTTGGCGGCAGCGAGATGGTGGCCGGAGTTCAGAGGAGGCCGGAAATGGGATGGGTTGACCGTGGGTTTCTACAATTTTCAAATTTGAGAAGCCTAGGGAGTTCTTTCACAGAAACCCTAGTTCTAGATTGGGGAGAAGCCATTTAGGGATTTTTCACAGAAGTTTTTTTGCTTCGTGGGCCTGGGAGATGAAGTGAAGAAAGTGCTCGATCTATTTTAATTTATTCTCTTTCCAAAAACTAGCACGCTTTTCTTTTTTTTTTTTTTAAATGAACAGCGCCTTTAATTTCTCTGAAAGGCACCGAGGCGCGCCTCACAGGCGCCTCTCGCCACTCGAAAAGGCGAGCCGAGGCGACCTGAAACGAGCGCCTCGCGAACAGGGTCGCCTCAGGCAGTGGCGAGGTGATATGGCCCTCGCCTCGGTCGCCTCGCCTCGAGGCGTCGCCATGGCGTCGCCATTTTAAACTATGTTCAAATCTTCAAAATTGAATGTACTTGGATGTTCCAAAACATCTTCAAATCATCAAAAAATTTATAGATCTTCTTGAGAGTTCTAAAGGGCTCTTAAACTTGAAACTTGAATCCTGATGTGTGTTTTTTGCTTTCCATAAAGAGGTGAGAGAATATTACCAAATCTATTTTGTTGAAGGAGATCTGAATGGTCCTTCAATCTTATATGACTTCCTTCTATGATCCTATTGACTTGGTCGTTAATAAATATATTATATCAAATATCTTATTTATCTTGGAGTTATATCAAAAAATAAATACATCAATAAAAAAATATTAAAATTCCACACACTAAAATGCCACATTACAACTTGTTCACGGACGTGTCTTGGAAGTGAACAAAACCTTCAATCTGGTTAAAAGGCAGATAGTTTAAACTCATATCTATAAGTTCTTCAACTTGAATTGATAGACAGTTTAAACTCAATGAGTTCCAATTGGCAGATAGTTTATACTCATACCATAAAGTTCTTCATTTGACTCGATTTCTAGACAGTTTATACTTATATCAAGAGGTTGTGAATTGATTTGGCACTATCAAATTTCATAATTCTTGATTCACAGGCCTTTTTATTCTTTTGCCCAGAAGTCTTGATTTGATCAGACTTGAAGACAATTTATAGTTGAATCAAAGGAGTTTTTCATTTGATTCACAAACTTTTATACTCGTGTCAATGAGCTTTCAAATTTGTAAACATTTTATGGTCATATAAAAGAGTTTGGATCATATTTGATGTAAGCCAGTTATTCTCTGGAATCTTGATGTAATTGCAAACAATTTATGATCACGCTAAGAAACCTTCAAATTGAAAACATTTCAACATTTCACCCGTGTCAAGGAGCCTTCAAATTAATAGACATTTTATGCTCTTATCAAGGGGCCTTGATTTGATTGACATTTTTATATTTGTGTCAAAGAGTTTTCAAATTTATAGGCAATTCATGTTCCAAATGAGCATTTAGATTTGTAGACATTTTATAGATAGTTTGGATTCATATCAACGAGCGTTCTAGATAGATAGGCTCGTATCAAGGACCATAAAGAATTTGAGATTTAAGATAGTTTTTGCTTGTATAAAGGTGTTAGTTTATGCTCGTATCAAAGAGCATGATGATTTGGAGATTGGAATAATTTTTTGCTCATATCGAGCATCTTTATATAGTGTAAGCTCTTACCAAGAACATTGGTGATTTGATTTAATGGAGCTTCATATAAACCACCCCCATGAAATTTATGAAATTTGAGAAGGATGTGGAAGACCACTATTGTTTGCTTTAGACTTTTGATTAAGTCAATGATTTTCAACGCTTCATGGTTTGACGAAGCGTCATCTTCACATACACTTTCTTCAAAGAAATCAACATACATCTTCAAAGATCTTCAAACTTGATTTAAAAAAATAGATGAGAGAGATCGTCCCACTGAGTGTACCAAATTTGAGACAATAAATTTCACGCAAGAACATAAAATAATTACACAACTTGATTCTATTTTGATCAATTTTCTTCTTTGATTTGGATTTTCATCTCCTTCGTGCTTAATCTTAAATTTGGTTAATGTTTATTTTGAGGGTCAAATGACTCATTACCAAATTAAACCTTAGCGCTTGATTCGATTGGAGATGGCTTCTTTTCAAACTTTTTTCTTCAGTTTTCCTTGAAGATGGATTTGAACATGAATTACATTAAGTCGAGAGTTTGAACGCTCTTTCCGAATCAAACTTTACTTGGTTGAACTCCACGAGAAATATAACTTGAATGACACCTTGAACGTCGTTGATTTTCTTAGTTTTGACTTGAGAAGTGTAAGAAACGGGGGAAAAACGGGTGCATTCCCACGCACGTGAAGCGCACTAGGAAGCCCGAATTAAAGCCAAGTGAGGTTCCATCCCAAAACCAATTGGTGGAAAGAAGAGTAGCCTACTAGACTTATAAGTTGAGCCTATTTTTCCTATATAAACGATGTAGGACAACTCACAAGTGATATTCTAACACGCCCCCTCACTTGTGAGTCCTTCATATGAAGCCCAAGCCCATAAACGAAGCCGGGAGCCCAACCCAACTGGGCTGGGTAACGGATACGTCACCGCACGATCCCACATAGAACCGACTCTGATACCATGTAAGAAAATGGGAGAAAACGGGTACGTGAAGCGCACCATAAGCCCAGATTAAGCCCAAGTGAGGTTCCATCCCAAAATCAAATAACAGGGAAGCCCAGAGAAGGAGGAGTAGCCCACTAGACTTATAAGTTGAGCCTATTTTCCCTATATATCCGTTGTAGGACAACTCACAAGTGATATTCTAATAAGAAGAATGGATAACACCTGGGAAAGAAACCACATTCTATTTTTCAATATGTTTTCTTCTCCATAAAATTTGTGCATCTCAATTGATTAGGGAAGACCCTTATTTTAAAGTGGGGGAATAGACAATCCTACAAAAATTGTCAGGTGAAGATGCGAATGGTTGGTCCTTCAAGATTTTATCCGATCTTTTTCTACCATCTTAAGATTTGACTAAAATAATTATTTTATTAATTAAATACCTTATTTATTATGGATTATGTCAAAAAATGAATAAACTCTAGTTAATTTTGGGTGTCTACAAAAACAATGCAAAATATATAAGATTTATACGTCCTGAAGCAAAGAACAACATATCTCGGAGAAATGAATCAATGAAACACTAGAAGGCCAATTAATTTCCCCTTTCAAAAAAAGTTACTCAGCAGACACACAACCAAAACCTCTGAAACTTATAAAGACTCAGCAAATAACTAGAATGATTATCAGTGTTGTTAACTGGTATGAAGAATGTGGCATAAAGTATTTCTTTGGTTTCTAAAAAATGAAAGACGACTTGTATTAAAATAATTCAATCAGTCCCTAACATGACTCTCCTAGCTGCATACGAATTTTTTGGTCATAAAGTAGTTCTTTGGTTTTTAAGAAATGAAAGAAGACTTTGTCTATCTTTTTAAAATAATTGAATAATACATTTCTTCGCTAACATGACTCTCCTAGCTGCATATGAATTTTAAACTATTTCATATGTCTAACAATTAAAACAACACAAATTCTTGTGTGAAGCAGCACAACGGTTAATGGGTCAACTCGTCATATATTTTGAACAAAATACATAGTATAACTGATAAATGTTATACTTTAGTTTATGTTGTTTTTTAAAATATGTCAAAACCTTGTGTATAAAGTATGCATATATATTGAAAAAATATGGTTGTCTACAGTTAAAACAATAAACCCCTAAACCCCGTTAATAAAGATGCTGATTTTAGGTATTTCTTGAAAAATTTCAATTTTGTTAATAAAAACAACCTGCTACTTTTGTGGAAACCCAAAATGTTCGATTCATGTCCATGACCAAGTCTTCCAGACTCCCCTCCGCCCCAACTCAAAATTTCACCTTGTTCTGGCCAACAAAAGTGTAGGGCAGCAAAATCCACAAAAAAAGAAGAAAAAAAAAAAAGTAATTGTGAAAGTCCAATGTAAGTTACTGAACGTAGTAGTGACTCCAGAAACGGTATACAAACCTGTTACTGCAATCGAGTGTTCAAATCCTAAGGAAGCTGTTTTAATGGTGACTCCATCCAAGGAATCAATTTTATGGGGATGAAAAGTTATCTTTTCTGCCTCTGCAGAGCAGTAACAAGAGTGAGTGATGGACGTGATAACAAACAAATCTAGACCACAGCACCTCTTAAAGTACTTGCAAATCAATTTGAACTTTAATCATTGGGGAGAAGAAATGAACTAATTTAACCAGGAACTTGTTCTACTCAATCCTGATGGAGTGTGGCCATTTTTAGTTCTTTTACTAACAATTAAAATCACCTCGGATGATGAAGATAGATAATAATACATACTGTTAAAATCATTATTCGATAGCATGAAATAAGGCATACATAATGGGAAGTATATTGAAGAATAAATAATAATTAAGTATCCAAGGAAAGAAGAATATATCGACGTGGATTTTGGGATCTGGGTTGATTGTCTTTTGACGATCATTGTTATCTTGTTTTTATTGTTATTACCTTTTATTATGTCAGTTAAATATAAATATAAGATCTCTAGTAGAGAAGGGAAGGCAATAAGAATCATATTATAACGGGTCGGGCAAGAGTATTTCTTGTTGAGCAGAAGTTCGTTCTTCAACCTTATTTGTTCTTCAAGCTTCTGGTTATCATTCTTGTTAAATAAAATTTTACAATTCATTTTGTTGACTCTTTACTCTTAACAAATTCATTTTAAAAACCTAAAAAAATCATTTGTTCGAAAACACTTTAGATAAATGAAGACAAAGTAGAATACATAATTACTTAAGGTGTGCTTGAATATAAGTTTTTGATTGGATACTTTGGTTTTGACTGGCTTTTTTGGTTAACAAAAAGTTGGTTAAGTTAGGTTTGAGTGGAATTTTTTTAGTTTGCATTGAAATAATATTTAAAATAAAATTATTAAAGTTGATTTGATGTAAAAATATGAGAGGTGATTGGAAGAGATGGATAATTGTGGGTTGATGAATAGTAAATTAAAGTTGATGTAATGTGTAAGGATGATTGATTGGTATTATTTAATTATACTAATAATATTAAGAAGGGTTGGGGTTGAGTTAAATTTGAGTCTTGATTAGAAAAATCGAATCACCTTATATCCAAGCACGACCTTAGTTAGCTGAAGCAGATAAAAGAAATAACTAAAGACAGAATAACAAAGAGTTAGCCTCGTATAACTACTTTTTCCCAGGCCAAGCTGTCCATTTCCGTTCTTTCCCCACATATAGAGTTCTCCATCCTCTACAAAAGGAGAAATAGACTATAGTGAGAAGAAATGTAATGTAAAATTTAAATGACTCTTAACATACCCAAACCAGAGTAAATGCAGCAACATAAGTGTTTCAAACAAACAAGGAAAACAAAGCCCCAAAAACTATCCAAAAGAAGAGGGAAATATCATGACTTGTATTTTATGGTTACAGTAACCCACTTACACCATTCCTGCCTTACAAATATTTAGCCACAAACGCAAAATTGTTTCTCTATAATATCAATAGTCAAATCAAGAAAAAAGAAGATTGTTTCAACAATAAATCTTGCTCTGAATTGACAGTTATGGAATATTTGGTGCGAGCTAGGCTAAGAATTCCTAGCACAAGAAACTATAAGTCTTCAATAAAGAAGATGCATATGCTCATGATGCCATGCATCATCAGCTGTCTCACATTAATGTATCCAAAGATAATTATAGATACGTCTTGATAGAAATTATAGTAAATTTTCAGCTTAATAAATAAGGATATATTGATTGATAATGAAATCACGCATCAGGACCTCTTGAATACCTCGTTATATTTGAGTAGGGAACTTGGCCGCATAAAACAAACAGATGCCCATATCAGGATTCAATTGCTGGTTTTTTGTTGTAAAAGTTGTACCATAACAAAAAGATTCTGAGCATCGATGCACACAACCGTAAAATCAGTTCTCAAAGCCAGAGATAATGCAGAAGGTTCCAACTACTCACTTTTGGTTTTTAAATTACAAAAATGACAAGGACTCAGAATCAGTTCGCGAACTCCTAATAGCTTGGAAAGTCTTTGCAACTTCTCAGCATGTCTGGGAGTGAATTAACGTAAGCCTCTCCATGCTCGGCATAGTATAGAAGCTAGACTAATGGATGAAAATAACGTATCATTTTGGTGTTCTACTGCACTAGTTAACTTTAGTTCACGTATTTCAATTCGCTACATAACTAGGGAAGCTCATCTGAAGATCTGTGACCAATAACAGTACGGTTCTCGTTCACAGTTCATTATCTGAAGAATACATCTTCTAGCCTTGATTTTTATTGCCATCGTTCCCTTTTATTCTTAGGCAAAATCAGATGTATAAGCAAATGAGTGTTGATGTAGAGTGTTGATGTAATTTAAGTACCATATAAGAGTTTCATCCATGTGAACGGTTTGCTTTATCCACTTCCACAGCTCAAAAGCAGCAGAACTTACATGATAAAGATCTCATTAACAGCAATAGACTAATAACCTTGAAACAAGTTCATAATATGAAACCTTAGTTGAATTAGTGACTTTTTAAGGCTTCACACATATAGAAAGTAACAAGATACATGATAAGTATGCATAAGAACATTCTCTGAGGATCATTANTCAGAAACATGTGATTGCAGATAAAAACTGAAATTTTCAAATAATATATGCTAACTTATGTGAGATTAAGATGCATGAGCGACTAGGGATGATAAAAAAAAGATATTTTTCAAAATGTTTCCCTTTCCACTGAAATTTACCTTTACAATGATTAAACAGATACATCAAAATAATAACAGAAGCGACAATGTTATTATATAAAAATCTAGGGAAAATGCATCAACAAGAAGTGAAGGCTAAACATAAATGGAAGAACCAAAATCAATAGTCACATGCATCATTCTTCCCACTGTAGAGGTAATAAACTCTATTAAATAGGATAGGTAAGAAAAAGAAAAGTCCTGCCTAACTTTCTACTAATAGAGACACAACAACAAAGTTTTAAATGGCGAGCGAAGAGGCGAGGCGATTCGCAGATGGATTTGCCATGAGGCGAGAGGCGAGGCCTCGGCACACAAGGCACCAAAGAGTAATAATAATAATATAGATAGTGCATAATATATTTAAGTTAATGACAAAAAAACATCAAATATCATAAGAAATACAAAATCAAAAATGGAAAAACTAAATAAAACTGGAACAAAATGCATGAGATTAGAAATACAAGATGGATAAACTAAAATAAAAGTCAAAAGATAGAAGCCTACACAGAAAATTAAAGATAAAATAAAAAATAACCAGATAAAATAAAAAGAGAAACTGAAAATGAAAACGAGAAACAGAACAAGAAAATAAAACCTGAAACTAAACCTGAAAAAGAGAAACTGAAAAGGATATTTAAAGGAAAAGATGAAAAGCTGCCCAGCCCAGGAAAGAGAAAAGGCAGAAAATAGGAAAATGAAAAAAGCGGAATTGAACATGGCAGTCAAAGAGACGAACGAGAAGAAAACAGAAAAGGGAAAATAAAGCAAACAGAAAAAAGAAGTCCAAAAGGTAAAGAAGCAAAAACCCTACTGGTGGAGCACTTTAAAAAAAAAGACGGTTGGAATCTCTCAAAAAAAATCTCAAAAATCTAAACTGAGTGTTCCTGGGCGTGGCAGGCCTCCAAGTCACCTCTCGTCCATGGAGTCACCATTTAAAACTACGCACTGCGAAGCACTGTAGATATCAGGACACTAGAGACTTCATGTCCTGTGCTTTTAAATTTAACTAAATGCTACAGCTTAAGCATTATTGGACCAAGGTGAAACCTTTAGTAGGATCCAACACCAATAACTTACACTTTTCCAACCTTGGGTTGTTGTCGCTATTGTTGTTGTTGTTGTTATTGTTATTATTTTTCCTCCTGTTAAATGATATTACCATGTCACTCTGTAGCATCACCTTTCACATGAAATCATCACTTCTATAGCTCTTCCATGTATCCTTATGTCTTACACCTCATCTTTGACACAGTAAAGCTAGGGATAATGGATTATGGTTGAATGCAGATCCTAAGATAAGTATTGCAGTTTAACTGTTTGAATGTTTGATAAATTAATCATTTTTCACATAAGTTTGTATAGCATGGAGCTCTTTCATTTTTTATGTTGTCCAACACTAAGGTACTTGAGCAATGTAAACTTGATCAAATCTCAACATAGTAGCATATATTCTCCTCTTTTTGTCACTCTTAAATGTTAAACATAGATAATTCCTTCCTCTATTGTTGCTCGAGGAAGGTTGCAGATGATGTGATTGATTTTCCGTGATCTGCAGTCCACCATGATTTCGGATATAGTAGTAACTATTTGCCCAGGACTCGACCCCAAATGTAAAATGTTGTTCAGACAAATTTAGTGACAAAAATGTTGAGTGAAAGAGAGGTGTCTTCATAAAGATAGACCTAAGATTAGGAAAGTTGAGGGATAGATAACGCCGCAAGAAAATCATCTTAGAGGGAAAAAAATTGATGCAGGAAACAACTAACAATAAGATTAAAGTACAACTTTAAGCCTTCATCAGTTTGCATCAAAAGAAAATGAAAAAAGAAATATTTGTTCCCGAAGCCCTACAAGCATGGAAACAGCAACGTTGAAAAAGGATAAAGATTTATGAAATCCACGAAGCTGGACCATCTAATGATAAAGCTCCAGAAGTAGAGGATCACAAGTTGTGATACTGCTGAGATAACTTACAGATGTATATCTTTGGAAATTGGATATACCAAGCTGTCCAAAATCATTAAGTCCTGTAGCATACAAATCTCCTCTTTCTGCCAAAACAGATACTTTAATCATGAGCATCAGGAAAAAAAAATTAATAATAATAAAAATTGTCAAAACCTTTGGTTCAGAAAGTGTTTAATTAGTAGTCTCCAGACCAAATAAATCCTCATGCAGAGTGAAAGTAACTCGTATAATCACTATTCAAAACTAGAATAAATAAAAACAAGATAAATTCATGACCTGACACATTGTGGCAATTACTGTGCAGAAACGTAACATATGTGTATACAGACCTTTTCTCAAGAATTTCCACTCTCATCACACTTTAAACTCTATAGTAACATTTCAGCAAACAAACAACAAACATCGCCATGACAGACTCGAACGCCAAAAAAAAAAAAAAGGAAAAGAAAAGGCAACAATGATGAAATAGGCAAATTACCAGTTAAAAAAAGAGTGTGGGCACCGCCGCACGCGATCTCCACCAAACCCTGATCATCAAAAGCGGCTGGCGAAATAGGGCGGGGCCTCCACTCGGAGGCCAAATTCCCTAATCCCAGCCTCCCGAAATCTCCATTTCCCCATACAGCTCCAAATTTTTTCCCCCTATACAATTCTCCACCAAAGTCCTCTCCCCTGCCACTTTCAACACAAAACCACCTTCTAAAACTTGCCCCAAATCCTAATCTTGCTTTCTTGTACAACAGACCAGACAACGGAGCGAGTTTCTTCATGCCAGCATAAGTTACAGGCATCGTCAAGAACCACCGAGAGCCCAACAATTGTAGTACCTGTGAAATCCAAGAAATTATCCGGTCTCCAGCTCTTATTCCGTGATGATTCTTGGGAGGATACACATCAAGTATAGAGGACGATCGCGATAAGTAATATAAGCGTCGGAATCGATTTAATCGATTTAATGGTTTGAAACACCTCAACCTAACGGTTGTACTGGTTCGACGGTTGGGTGTTTGGACGCATAGGTGTCCACGTTTACTATATTTAATTTAAGAAATGCTACAAGTACATACAGCCCTTGTTTGTTTTGTCAGATTAAGGGGATATCCCGCCTAATCCTTAGTCAATCCTGCATTTGGTTTAATGGATTAAAGCCCGCACGATTGGGTTGGCCCGGGATAGAAAAGAGAATTATCCCATGAAATTGGGATAACTTAATCCCCCCACTTACATGGAATTAATTCAATCCCAATAACCTAAAGTCGAATTTACCCTCTTCTTAATAATTTTTAGACAATTTTAACTCTCCCTAACACACAATTTACAAATGAAATCTAAATCAAACGTCATTTACGCTAGTGAAACTTATCCTCATTAGAACCAAATTAAAAGCCAGGTAACATAGCAGGATGTCATACAGAATGGACTACAGTCCAATTTAATTTCATCATTAAAGTATAACTCATACCACACAAAATGACGAGGAAGAAAAACAAGAAATTAGCATGTAACCTAGAAGAGTGAATGCATTAGAAATAGAAACATGAAAACAAAAAAACACATTTTAGGCATATAAAACAACACAATATACAAACACACAAAAGGGCCACCGGTTCACCAATCGCTTGACGACATACAAAATTGAAATCACGGCGGTGAAAACCACAGCGATGAGTAGGAGAATCTAGATCTTAGATCTATGGGGGTGGGGCCTGTACAGATCGTCGTTTGGGATAAATATTGAAGAAGAAAAGGCTGGAAATACGAGCGGCACGAGCGATCCCGAGAATATCGATCGCGACCGTTGTCATCGTCGTCTTCTTTGGCGGCGGATGAGTGGTGGTCAGCGGACAACGGAAACGGCACGACGGACGCCGGAGATGGGGACGACGTGGAGCGGCTGCCGATGGAGCTCAAGTGGCGGATATCCGCCGTAGCTCGTTTCGGGTTGTACGCCAGCTTGACAATCCGAGATTGGCTCGCCTCTGCGTGGCTCCGGCGAGAGTGGACGGTTGTCTTGTGTGTGTGAAATTGAGTCTCAAGAGAGATTCGAGGGTATCAACCTGTTTGGGGCACAATCGTACTTTCTTAGTTTGTGTTGAATGAATTCAATTTTTTCTTTTTTTTAACAAATAACTTATCCAACACCAATCCAACATATCAAACACGGGATAAAAATAATCCAAACATTATAATCCCACAATTTTGGATTATTTTTGTCCAGTCCCATCCTACCAAGCAAACATGTAGACATAGTGTACATAATATTTACATCTAAGTGGGACCTACAAAAAAAAATAAAAAATTAAATAAACTCCACGTGTTATGTACATCGTATATTTATATTACACTTATATATCTATTATATTTTTATTAATAAAATCACTATAGGGACTGCTGCAAATGTAATTGTTAATTTATTAAGGAGTTTTCAGGCAAATTAAGTACAATTGAGATTATTAATTGAGATTAAATATATACTTAGCAAAAAAATCGGACGAATCTATCCTCTCTCTCTCTCTGCAAAACCACCCAACCGCCCACGCTCACCTCTCTCTCTACAAAAAACTTCAATCCTGTCCCCCAATTTACTGAACACTCTTCAATGGCCAAGACAAAACTCCCACGTTCTACTCGAAAAAAATCGACAAACGGTGCCGACGAAACACCACAGATTAGGTCGAGTGCCCGATTTCATAAAATCCATTCAAAAACACAACCCAAACTCGTTCAGAAAAAGCTAATTCCTGAAGAAAAAAAATATGAACCTTAACCCTACTCGCAAGTCCGCCGGCAAGGTTAGAGTGCAAAATCATAGTTCATCTCCCAATTCAGACGATTTCCAGTCCGACCCAGGTGTTAAATCTCCAAGAAATATTCGGAGAACTCGTAAATTGGAGAAGCCCAAATCCACCGAGAAAGAGAAATCGCTTGACCTGATTTCGAATATAAAAGTCAACTCGAAGAATAGTGAAGAAGATTTGAGCGAAGAAGGCCTCCCGGTTGAAATGTTGAAGAAAAGAAATAAAAAAAAGGCACAAAAAAGATAAAGAAGAAGTCAATTTCATCAAGAAGAGAAGAAAGTCAAACACTGACGTCACTAGGCCCCCTCGTGATTTTTAGAAAGGGATAGTGTATAAAGTAATTTTTTGTTCATTTCAGTATATTTTATTATTATATATTTTTTTGTGTCTAATATGTTTAATGTTATTGTGTGTGATTAGGTCGAATTAGATGGTGACAATTTATTTGGTATGTCAGTGAATAATTGTTCATGTTCCACACAACTCGCTTTGACTTAAGCATGTTATTTGGCTTTGCTTTATGTCTGCAATAACATATTGGTCCCATAGTGTGAATTGATATGATCTCATTGTACAATTTTGATCTATTTTCTGCAATAACACGCTGGTCCAATTATGATATGTTTTCTACCTTTTTTGGTATGTGAATTGATATGATCTTTTTTTGTTTAATGTTGTCCGCGATATTAATAGTATATGACATTGTCATTTAGTATATAGTTAGTATAATTCAAGTATATGTGTGATTTGTTTATTATGGTTCGAGTAGTTATATGGAATAGTTGAAATTATATGTGTGCTCTCTTTTTGTTTGCTCTCTTTTTGCCTTCTTTTGTAAATGTTGGATATGCAGTTGCAGTTAGGTTAATTGTTTTAGAATGTGATCAATTTTGGCCTTTTTTCAAGTATATTAATACTATATAATTACTATATCATATTGTCATTGTCTTTCAGGTCATTCCATTTGTCATAAATTGGGTTTTTTAATTGCTCAGTATATGTATAGTTCATTTCAAGTATATGAAAGGTTTATTTCAATGAAATTATTCTAGTACTGAAATTATTTGTCATAATTTGTGTTCTTTGATTGCTCAGCATATGTTTAGTTCATTTCAAGTATATGCAAGGTTTATTTCAATGGTATTATTTTACTACATAAACTATTTATCATAATATGTGTTTTTTGATTACTCATTATATGTTTAGTTCAATTCAGGTATATACAAGTATTATTTCAATGATAAATATTTAAATACAGCATTTATTATCATTGGTTATTAATGTTCATTATCATATATATGTTTTTTCTTCTTCATTATTTTCAGGAATGGCAATTGCTCATCCCTCATCCGAGGGATTTAAATGTGAAGGTTCAAAACAACAATGATAATAGCAAAGATCAATCCACGATAAGTGGAATCAAGAGGACGCTTACCACGACGCAATTGGAAGTTTTTAGGAGTTCAGCATTTGGGAAGTTCTTGGATCTCCATAACAGCATTGTACATAACTAGCTCATCAACCATATACTTTTACGCAAGGTTCATCCGACTAGGAGTGACGAGATTTGGTTAGATTTTGGAGGGAAGTTGCTCCGATTTGGGATAGAGAAGTTTGTTGTTATAACGGGATTGAAATGCACCGGACAGAGCAAGAAATTGAATATTCCAAAAATTTCTAACGGTCTGCATGACAAGTATTTCGCTAGGGTTGCATTGAACCACATCAGGTGACAGTTTCTAAAAAAATCATGGACGAGTGATGAAGATGCGTCAAATTTGCCAAGTTACATTTATTAGCAAATTTCCTCATGGGCTCTTAAGACTCTCTTCATATAGACCGATATTATGTTGACATGTTTGACAGTGTAGAGTGCGATGATTACGCTTGGGGAACCAATGTGTTTGAGTTTACTCTTTATTATTTGAAGAAATCAATTCATAGTAGAGAGAAAATGCACATACTTGAGAAGGCTTAGGGTGGTGGCTACCTGTGTAGGTGTTATGGTCTTATATTGGCTCTTCAAGCATGGTTCTACGAGGTATGCGACACCGCTGATGGAGTAGTCTGCACCTACGGTGGTGTGCATGATATTTCAACAATAATCAAGTGGGAAGTTCAAATAGTTATAATCGTATTTTTATGCAGATGACCTTTTCAAATCTTCATTACTCCAAGGTAATTAATTATGTTGTCTTATATATTTCTATCTCGTTCTCGCTAACTAATTTTTTTTTCTTTGTTTTTTGTTTGCACAGTTCAATAACATAGTTCCCACCAAGGCGGAGAAACAGACTCTTTCGTTGGACTCATTTTTCCCAAAAAAAAAATAAGTTCACTCGAAATGAGATTCAATCAAGTACCACACCACAACATACCAATGATGTAGATGTTATAACCCGTCTCAAGTCAATTACTGTTGAACTCGAGAGCTTGAAACAGGCCTTCTTCGACTTCTCGAGACGTGTTTTTGCCGAATTTGATTTGTTCAAAGAAAAATTCATTGTAAGTTCCTGGTTGTTGTTTATTGCTTTTATGTTCAATATATTTGTGTTGCATGCACTGTTCTAAAAATCGGCCTAGGCGGTGCTTGGGCGCCTCCGATTTGTACAAATCGGCCAGGCGGCTAGGCGGCGCCTAGGCGTGCTCGGCGGCCAGGCGGGCGTAGGCGGACCTAGGCGGGCTCGGCGGTAATTTCTCAGTTTTTTTTATTTATTTTTTAAATACTAATTACATTATTTTATTCTCAATTTTCTTTAATATATAATAATATTATTATTTGGACTTTGGTGTGTGAAATTTATTATAAATTGAGATAGTTTTATTTTTTATGTAGTTAAAATAAATAAAAAATAAGGTATTTAATATTGATTTCTAGGCCCCGACTAGGCGCTCTAGGCGCTGGTCCAGCGCCTAGCGGGCGCCTAGCGACTTTTAGAACACTGGTTGCATGTATACTATGTTTGTGACTGTCTTTTACTTTATTTTTTTTTTCTTTGGCATTATATTGTTCTGTGGTTTATCTACAGTATATTTTATAGTGTATGTTTGTACGTATTTTTTTTGGGTTTTGTTATTTGTTTTAGAAAGTATACCAATATTATGCATTGTTCATATATTGACAGTTTATGAAACTAAATATATTTTTGTTTCTTGTTTCTTTGTCTGTTACTGTTATAATGTATGGTGTCTTTTCCAGTATATGTGTGGTAGTTATAATATGATTGAAAAAGAGACGATTTTATTTGCGATTATAATATTTTTTGGTTTATATCTCATTTATGTAGCTCCCCAAACATTTGTACATATATAATTGCTGGCTAATCCTATTTAATAAAACATTTAATAAAAAGATTTTAGTTTCCCGCCCAAAGACGTTACAGGGCATGTATATATAGAACTTTTTTTTTAATAAACACACACCTTATTATTTGCATGGATTATGCTGATTATTTAATATGATTAGGCAGTTACAATCACGTCCATGAATGATAATTAGTTATTTTCTTATTCTTTTCTATTTTGCTCCATGAATGAATACAACACATACAAATAATTATATTTAATAATAAATTAATTGACCACCCCAAAAAATAATTAAAAAAATTACAAATACGTTCTTAATTGACCACCCTTAAGCTTCTATTAGACCTGCAAAAAAAAGTAAGAAAAAATACAAATCAGTAAACAATATAGGAATGTTATTATTCCATGATTTTAGCACATGATTTATTCATATTTTATTGTTAATTGTCAGTTACAAAATATGGAGAGCAATGGAAAATAAGTGGCGGGCAAACTGAATTTTAAACTAAATGAAATGAAATTCAAAAGCATTTAAAAATGGGCGGGTAATCTAAATTTAAATAAAATTCAAATGAAATTTAAAAGCAATAAAAAAGCGGTGGGAATAGTCTGTGGGTTGGGTTGTTAGTTATTAAGAACCAAATATCAGTTACAAATTCAGAAAGGAAGGAAAAAGAGAGGGATGCGGAAAAGTGAAAGGTAATGTGATATATTACAAAAACAAGAGGAGTGATTTTTTCATATATTATTATTAATAAATATTTTATATCAAACTAAATAAAATGAAAATCCGAAAGCATTTAAAAATGGGCGGGTAATCTAAATCTAAATAAAATTCAAATGAAATTTAAAAGCAATAAAAAAAGCGGCGGGAATAGTCTTTGTGGGTTGGGTCGTTAGTTATTAGGAACCATATATCAGTTACAAATTCAGAAAGGAAGGAAAAAGAGAGGGATGCGGAAAAGTGAAAGATAATGTGATTTATTACAAAAACAAGAGGAGTGATTTTTGCACATATTATTATTAATAAATATTTTATATTAAATGTGCCAATGTGATTTGACTATACTAAGACCATATATATAGGTCCACCATTCATTCACAACCTCATTGTTATTAACCATCCAAACAAAAACACTCTTCCTCCTACGTCTTAGTAAAAACAGCAACGACATCAATCTTTAACAATTTGACCTTCTTGGCCAAAAACAAGAATAAGACAGCCAGGCTTAGATTGGTCAGAACCTACCCGCGCTTTTATCAGTCGAACAAAGCAAAAATAAGCGGACATGAATTTGTTTTTCATGATGTGAAGGTATACAATTTTTTTACTTCTCTAATATTTAATTATTTTTTACTCGCAGCATTTCTACTGCCATTGCGTTTGACAATCTTCATTAATTTGGTTTTTTTAGGGCCAGCGTATACACGGCTGGGCACCCGGATGCTTATCGCAAAAGTTTAAAGAATTTAAACTTCTTGAAAGCAATGTGTACGACATCACAAATTTTGCACTTGTGGAGGACAAAAATGCATTCCAGATAACCAAATCAAGTCACAAGTTGATTTTCTACAAACAAACTAACATGCATGAGATAGTTGATGACGAGTATCCGAGGTTGATGTTCGAGTTCAAGCAATTCAGCGAGCTAACCGACCCCGAAACGATTGATCCTTGCACACCTTTTGGTACTTTTTATTTTGTATTTTTTAAATAATACAAATTATGGTACTCTTACATTATTTACTAATTTTTTTTTTATTTGTTGACATAATTGGCCGTATTGTTTTGTTTCAAAACATACATATAAGAAATTCAAATGGCGGTCAAAAGAGATATGTTGACATTGTTCTTCAAGATGTTGAGTAAGTTATATACGCATACAACTTTGGTTTTATTTTAATTTGAGCATTGATATCTTTCATAAATTAATTGTTTATTTTTTTGTACAATGTAGGGGGTGCCACAAAACTTGCACCCTATGGGAATCATATGCAGAAAAGTTGATAGCCTCCTACAAAAAGTCGGATCCAACGGAATTGAAAATACTCATAATCCAACATTGCCATGCAAAGTCATTTGATGATGGTATATATTATTTTGCCTAATTGCTCCTATTATTATTTTAGATTTATTTTACAATTTTTAATATTATCCCAACAACATTTATTTTTTGTAGGATATGTTTGGTTTTCAACATTTATGATGCTACAAAATTGATAATCAATGGGATCAAGTGCTCTGGCCTTCCGAATCATAAACT